TGACTTGCACAGTAAAAACATTGGCAAGCCAGACTTAGGCAGCACTGGTCTGGCTAGCTGCTACAATAATGAAACCAATACGAACAACACTCTGCATGATACCTATTATTAGAAACATCTATTTATTGTAATTTAAATTTTCTAAAATGTGGTAAAACAATTGTGGTGAGATGTTAACTCCTCGCCTGCTGTACAAGTCTTGGGTTCGATCCCGACGCTTGTATATTTGGATGTGCATGTGTCTCTCCCCGTGGTCGCTTGGATTTTTCTCCAGGTCCTCCAGTTTTTCCCTCCACATTTAGAATCAATATGAATTTTCAGTATTTGGCTGCTATGCATTTCCAGGTAATAAGCATTTTGTTGAGCTATCATTTGTAGCCAGGACGTTAATGAAAAAGAGCTATATAGACCAGTAGGCCTTACCTAGTAAAATAAAAAAAGTTTAGTTTATAGTTTATTTATTTGGGCAATATGGTGTGGCTATATAGAGCACTTGTAAAGTTTCTCCAGCCATACCTGCAGTCCCCCCCCTCTCCAAACAGGCCCAAACCCTTGGCAGGGGGGGGGGGGGTAAACAGAAAGAGGGGCGAGGGGCCTAAAGAATAAGGGGCAGGGCTTAAAAAGAAAAGGCACGGAACCAAAAGATGACATTGGGCCGAAAGAGGAAAAGGCGGGGCCTACAGAATTCCCTTTTGATTTAAGGTAATAGGATACAATAAGTAAGTGCAGCAGGCAGCATTCCTTTAGTGCTGCAATTTCGGCCACAGGCCAACTCGTTGTATTGTGTTGCCATCCACGTCGTAAACCAAATAGTATCCTGAAGCAAACAATACACACGACCACCCGACTTCAATAAAATAATAAATTCCAACTAAAATCGAAGCTTGAAAGTCGACACGATATCACGAACATAGCTGCTTTGAAGGAGATACAAGACACTGGGAACACATGGCGAGCATAGTGGAAGTGGGGGGAGGCAAGAACTGCTTCCACTCGATGTTATTTAGCCGACCTATGGCAGCTAAATTCGAAATCCGGCTCACTGTATTTGGAAATTCCACCTTCCATTTTAGACCCTGAGAAAACTGGGCCATTTGAATAAAGTTTACAAATAAAAAGTTTTGAATTGAAATGTGAAAGTGTTCTACAGCAGACCTATTTGATAACAAGCACAGGCAGATGTCTCCTACACACTACATCATTTGTAAAAAGCTTAGGATGAAAAAATAACCAGGTCAAATCTAACTTTTTTAAGCATTTGCAGTGTGTATCTTTTATCACTACGAAAACGTTACGTTCCAAGAGCAGAATCAGTACAATATTTATAGGAGCTAGCAAAACCACCTAGTACAACTGGATTAAAGCCAAAAATATATTTATGGATTTCTATATCGCTCTGACAAGAGTTAAATATTGAGGCAATATAAAAAAAGAACCCTATAAATTAGCATAAAAAGACAAATACAGTACAGTTAAGCTGTTGTTATCCATGACAGGGAAGCAGGGTCATGGAACGAATTCATGAACTCCTGTAACATGAGCTCATACAAGCCATGGCAAACATTACTGAAGAATCATGTCCGAACCGTTCCTGATTCTCCCACTTTACCAACTTGCACAGACCAGCCATGGTGAAGCATGGTACAAACAATCCCCATGGCCGATAGTGTTGGGATGCCTTCAACATCGGATTGGCAAGGGCTGTCAATTATTTTAAGTATTTAGTAGTTCCCTCTGGGCAACTAAAATTACCCAAGGTCTGTTCACCTTGAGTGCTTCGTCCCTGTGCTTTCTGGAGTGCCCTATACACTGTCACATGCCACACGTAGCATGATGAGTGGCGTCCATACATTAAAATAACCAAACACGACAGACACTGCACAACATGGACGATGACTCTATCTGACTCACAAAGCATTACCGGAAAAATGAAGCATTTGTGCTTCTGATATATCAACACAAATTCATATGAAAGTTTTCTCACACTGCAACATTTGTACAAGTTACCATGCCCCTGTTACATATGGACAGAGCATTAAATACGTTCAGCTTTCGTTCGAAAGCTTAAAAAAAGAATACGTTTGTCCACAATGTCAACCTTTTCGTTAAAAGAACATGATCACTCTCAGACGAGACTCCAGATTCATTAACAGTTGTGTCGTCTTGCAGTGTTGGGTATCCCGGCCACTTAGGTCTGGATGTGTATTGTGCCTACCAGTCGCAGTAAACAGACGAATACTGTTACACAGCAGTGGCCAGACGGATTAGGGGTTAACAAACATCCTCTCGACAGGACACTGAGCCAGCAACCACTCCAATCGTGGGTTGGAATCTTGGCAACTGCGTTTTTAAGCAGTGACTTGCTGGTCTCAACCAAGTGATTAATGACAACAAAAAGTAAAGTGGAAAGTTCGTTTTTAAATGTTCAAGTCCTTCAGACTACTATTCTGCGTTTGTCATTCAATACGTTTCATCGTCATAAAGATGGCTTTTGTATTGTTTGCTACAAGAGGGGCTTTTTTAAAAAGGGAATTCAAAAGCAGTGCTGTGGCATTAACTTCCGAGGCCGTTCCCTGGCGTGATGTTATATGCTGTTCACTGAGCGTCTCACGATATGATGACAGTATAATTGTACCATAACTGGGCATTAAAGAAAGCGTTTACAATTCAAAGAAAGTGGACTATGGTACCGAAGACAGCAGAACAATTTGCCTAATCTCCCTCGCGTGCATGTTGGAGAGATGAGGCAATTCATTTGGGAATTTGGCTTGTCTGTAGCTTGTCCTACGAAACTTCGTAGACATCACAATTGGCAACAACCAAAATCACGGTTCAGTGATGGTATTAATTCTGGCTCACATTACTTTTCTATGCATGACCAATCCGTATATAAACAATGCATTATATGCACCACAGGGACATCGTTCAACAGTATGTTGTTATTGTTTGTGTCTTTTGGTAAAGTCACGTAAGATAGCTACAAATTACTACAAATTATAAAATAAACAAAAAACTCAGACGTTTCGATCACAACACAAGCGATCGTCATCAGGAGGTCCTGATGACGATCGCTTGTGTTGTGATCGAAACGTGACTTTACCGAAAGAACCACAAAGGATATGAATGACTGCAGTCACGACAGCTTTAAGTCAATATTTAGTATGTTGTTGAATATATTGTGTTGACTACACCAAGCCAGAGATGATCGTTTATAGTCACAGGCACTTTCTGGAAAGGTACTTTATATAACGGCTGTATTTTAGTGGGTAAAGCAAAAAAATATGAAGAGATATAAACCTTTATGTTCAAGTCTGAATTACCATAACATAATCAAGACCAACACACCGTGGATAATCGATTGTGGTCAGTGATTTGCCCTCTTGAACCTGTCGTTCCGAGTTCGATTCCGGGTCAGAGCTAACATCCTTTACCAACCAGCAGAGTGAATTTGGGGTCATGAAATCTCAAGATCGAAATGCCGTGAAGAGGCTTTAATCCAACAGTGGAGTGACAAAGAACTTTAAAATATTGTTGTACCTTGCAGGGATTCATCTTCTTGGTTCTTTCGGTAAAGTCACATTGGAGCGCTGTCTTTCAGACAACTCTGTTTTCACCTGAGGATGGCTGCTTGTGTTGTGGCCGAAACGTTGAGAATTTTATTTCATTATGTTTTATTTTTATTATTTTATTTTGTCCCTTCTACGTGACTTTACCGAAAGAACCAAGAAGACATTGCTGTACCGTTGTGACAAGTTACTAACGACTTGCTCATTGTACGTTTAGTACTTGGGTACTTGAACACATTCGCTTCACTTGTTGACAAGTCTCGTATCACCTGCAGATAAAGTCGTCGTCACTCAGGACATCAGCAGAAACACGCCGACACGATCCACACAATCGACGCGTGAGATCTGGAATGCTATGGTGGTGGCCACTGCTCTAAACAATACAATCTTAACGTAGGCTCGTATTCTAGGAGCTGTAATTAAGCCGAAAAAAACAGCTGCCCAAGAAGACAGGCCCAGACGCCTCCAGCAGGCGACACAAAACGACTAACTATAAGAGCACAAACTCCGACAAACAAAACTGTGATTACAACGGAAGCAATCGCATTTGCTATTAATTTAATTGTAATTTTAAAAAAAGTGTCTGTAAAGCCACAACAACAATAACAACACGAGAACAAAGAGCGCGCACGGGGGGGGGGGGGGGGGGGGCTTGCAAATCAACAAAGTTTACAGAGCAACAATAAACACCGAAGCGTCGTAGAGGCAACAGCAGCGGTGACCACCACAGAAGAAGATGATGATGATGAAGAAGATGAAGAAAGCAACGTCAGCAAAAGCAGAAGAAACTAAAATAGCGACAAAGGGAAGGAACCAAAATAAGCATCAAGAGACGGACGAGAACGCAACGGGACCCACCACCACCACCACCGAAGCCGCCACAGAAAACAACAAAGACCCCCCCCCCCCACTGTAACAGACTGTGAGGGGCAAGTGGGGTTAGCGAGCACCTATCAAGGCCGGCACTGTGGCACACGAGGGTGGTGGTGGTGGTGAGGGGGGGCAACACCACGCCCGGCCGTCTTTGTCTCCCCAGTGACACGCACAGAAACAATAACGAAACAAGAGCGGCGCGCGGGCACGATAAGTCCCCAAAACGTCAAGAAAAAGTACAAGTTACACGGCTAACAACTGAAGCAACAAGTACAGGACCAACAACAAAAAACAACAACAACAGAGAGAGCGAGAGAGCAGCGTGGTGCTTCTGTTGAAAGTTGTGGCGCCGTGATGGAGAACCCTCTCCTCGAGTGCCCGCGCCTCCCTGCGAGACCGGGGCAGTCTGTGTGTGTGTGTGTTGTCTGTGTGTGTGTTGTCTGTGTGTGTGTGTTGCCTGTGTGTGTGTGTGTGTTGCCTGTGTGTGTGTTGTCTGTGTGTAGCTAGCACCAACAAACAACCCCTCTGCTTGCCTGTGGCCGTGTAATCTGTGCGTCATGCCTGTGCCTCCGATGTTGGAGTAAAGTTGGGGGTGAAAGATTCTTCTTCTTCTCGGCAGAAGTTTCCACTCCACGCGGCGGCCTAGGCCCGCTCCGTCGGCGGCAGCCGAGACGTCTCGCCGACGAGCCCTCGTCAAGAGACGTCGGCGGAGGAGAGACACGAAGGCGGAGAGAGACTGCGGTTGCCCGAGTAAAACGCGCCAAGAGGTCCCCCCCGGAGGACGGACGCGGGGCGAAGAGACGCCGCCACACGGGGGGATCGGTCCTCTGCCGCCTCGCTGCCGCCACGAGGGGGCGGCGCCAGGGGGCGGGGCCTGGGGGCGGGGCCTGGGGCCTGGGGCCTGGGGGCGGGGGCGGGGGGGAGGAGCCACCGCGAGTATTGGCCACGCCCATCGCCACCACTGGGATGGGATGCATATTCTTAGGTTTTTTTCGGTAAAGTCACGTAGGTAAAAACATCAAAATTAATGAAAATAAAATAAAACAAAAAATCACGACGTTTCGGAGGCAACACAAGTCGTGATTTTTTTATTTTATTTTATTTTCATTAATTTTGATGTTTTTACCTACGTGACTTTACCGAAAAAACCTAAGAGTATGAATCCTTGCAGTCACGAAAGCTTCAAATCTAAAACTGGGATGGGATTTCGATTTAAAGCTTTCGTGACTGCAGGGATTCATCTTCTAGGTTCTTTCGGTAACGTCACGTAGAACAGGTCTGTCGAGAAAGACAGAGTCTGTCTTCTCGACAGACCTGTTCTCCACCTGAGGACGGCTGCTTGCGTTGTGGCCGAAACGTCGTGAGAATTATTTTATATGTTTTATTTTTATTATTTTATTATTTCCATTCTACGTGACTTTATTATGTTTTATTTTTATTATTTTATTATTTCCATTCTACGTGACTTTACCGAAAGAACCAAGAAAATGGGATGGGATTGTCGCGATTCTGGAAGAGGATTGGAAAACAAAACCAGATTTTAAAACAAACTTTGTTCCGTTTGTTTGTTTGGTTTTTTCCACCGTTTGTCTCACTTGAAAGTGTATACTCCCATTCTGGTCTGTGTTGTCACAGCAATGTTGCTGCTGGTCAGCGAGGCGCGTGGCTTTTCTCTCGAGTAGTTTACGTTGTTGCGTGTCGAGGCATGTTGGGTACCACCTTTATTATTATTATGCTAACCAAAAACAAGCATTGTTGAATTGTGCGTGTGAGAATTATTTTCGATGTGCGCACATTTTATGTAAATACGGTACGATGTAAATGTGAGATTCGCACATCCGATTAAAAATACCAAGAACACGCTAGATCAAACAAGACATTTAATCATGACAATTCAAATTTCTGTAGTGTGTACACGTTTAATAATGCTGCTGATGATGATGGATGGATGTCCATCATAATCATGCTGTTTATGACCTTGCAGCTGATGTTAATGATTGACGAATTATTGTTGGAAGATGATGGCGATGTGGATAATGATGATAATTCTGCTGATGACCAGATTGTGATGTTTGTTTTGTCCAGGAATTGTCACTTCAGTTTTAAGAATATATGTTATATTCACTGTAGTTGGCTAATTCTGCGGTTTTTTGGATACGTGGAATTACAAAGCAAATTCATCCTACTGCCTGTGTTTATTTCCAGACAAGACGCACACCCAGTGATAAATGAGATCAATTATACAATAATATTTTCAAATAAGAGGTATTACCCGTAAATTCTGGCAAATGTATAAAATTATTTGCATGTACCTGTGAAAAAGTTATTTTGAGGATAAACCAGACTTTAGTTTAATACGTAGGCTTTCGCGAACCAATATTATTCATAATCAACGTTTTTGGGTTTAGATCGCGTTATTTATAAATGTGTCGTAACCCTCCACCACCCGACACGGCCAATCAGTAAAACAGTGTCACGTTGACAAAAGACAAATAGTTCACTGCATTAGCCCACCGGTGTGTTGAAGCGTGAAACCACAACATTCACCTGAGGACGGCTGCTTGCGTTGTGGCTGAAACGTCGTGAAAATAATTTTATTATGTTTTATTTGTATTACTTTATTATTTCCCTTCTACGTGACTTTACCGAAAGAACCAAGAAGAGAAAAATACATGATGGAAAAGAGAGGTTTGAAAAGGGATGATATTACAAAATAATGAATACACAAAACTGTAAAATGATTAGGAAAATTAGAAAACAAATCAGTGCAACACAGATATAATTGAAGTTATTGCAAGCAATGGAAACAGTATGAGAAAAGTTTTGGTTTATGATGGGTAATTATTAACCCTCAGGGGAAAAAGATGGAAACATAACATGACAAAAACATAATCTTAACGTTTGTGGAAGACTTATACAGATATCTATAGCAAAACAAATCCATATACCGTATCTTAGGAATAAACAATGTTTCAAATGAAGACAAGGAAGTTCCACATGTCATACTAGAAGAAGTAGAAGTATGACAAGGGGAAATCTATTCTTGCACCATCATTAAAGAAGTGGGACCAGCAGTTGGAACAAACCCAGTGATACATATTTAATAATATATCCACAGAAAATGAGTATCTTGTTTGTGATTGACACCTAAATTATTCATCTATTCAAAAGGGAGACAAAACTGGCTTGAATAATTAAAAACCCATGAGCTTCTTATCAAATGTATATGTACATTGTCAGGAGCAGTGGATACACCATGACTTGACGATTATGCCTATTTCTATATGAATATGCATCTGCTATCTGCACTCTTTAGAGTTAGAATAACCTTTTAATGCTCAGGGGGGGGGGGGGGATAAATCTCATTATATGAGCAAATTATAATTTTGACCTTCATTTAGTAAAATCCGCAAAATGTATTCGTTCACTTTTGAGCCTGTCTCATTAGAAATAATTTGCCCTGGTGGTGCAATTAGAACGGTCTGGTTGTGCGGTGGCATAGGACCAAAATATACTGTCATTAAAATCAAGTAGAATCTCAATAGGGTGGCTTAAAATGGTCAAATTCATGTACAATATAGTGTTGCATGCCACAAATACAATTATTTGGAGGCAAGGTTGGCTCACACAGAGATGGAACCTTAACGTCCATGCATTTATTATATGCAGGGCTGTGATATCATCCATCACCCATCATCTATATTATAGTGACACGGCCTTCCCAAGCCCACTTACTTTATTAACGAATCAAGAGGCCACCTCTAATTTGCATTTGTTCTCTTTCTCTCATTTAATTCCTTGCAGCATGGCCCATGCCAACCCTTGCTTTGGCACTGTTTGCAGACTTTTTAAAATCTAGTTATTAAATTATTTCCTCTAATTCATTGTCATTTGTTATTATAATAATGAGTAAATCTGAGATGATTGACATTCTGCATTTATGTTTATATTTTTCTCCAATTCAGTTTTGGACGTTATATCAACATGCTCTTCATGCCAATTGACATTCTACCAGTGGATACTCAGAATAATGAGTTTAGCCAGTTTAATACACAAAATGCATGCAGAAATGCATGTCTGGAATTACACTAAAACAGAATAAGGAACGCATGGATCAGGGAAAATATGCAAATAGACATTATAAAACATATGTAACATATTGGTTGAAGGGATGATCACTGATGAAGAACACTCGTGAATGAATAGCAGCCAAAGTAGAGAATAGGCCCGTGAGGATGCCGACTGTCAAGATGGAGCTAATGAGGTCAGTTGGATGCTTGCATCGTAGGAAATTGATTGTTGCATCGCAGGAGGCCTTCAACCAGCAGTGGGGACTTTCTGGGGGTTCCATGATAGTGGAGAATTTTGATTGAAATTCTTCCACAAAAATAGTCTGGAACGAGTCGTCACTCGCTAGCTGTGGTCACTGGGCTAATGTATGTCTATGCAGGCGGATGAGTTTTGTCACCATTGATGCTGGAGTGGCCCCCAGCGGTTTGTCACGTGGAAAGGGGTAAAAATAGTCACTGCTCTCTGCCTTGCAGTGCTACGTCGGATATAATATAGCAAAATCCTTACGATAACTAACAAAAACATTTGTACAGCAATAGATACTGCCCAAATTACGTGACACCACTGGAGCGCTATGACGGCGCGCTTGAATGACTGTTTTCCCCCATTTACAAACCCTCCAATTTCATGACAGTCCAACTTAGTTATTCCGACGGTGAAGCAGACTTCTTTTCATATTTCCTCTTTTTTTTAATCCATGTCTCCCCGCGTCGTTTCGCTGATGCCTCCCCCTCTGTTTGTTTGACCATTCGTCACCCATAGCTGTCAACTCATACACGGTTTACCCCGTATTCTTGTGCAGGGATGTTGAGTTTTCAGGTCCATACAGCGTACAGCCGTTTCAATATGGACAAAAACATGTGTTTTGTCTATTTGTTTGTGTTTTTCCCTATAAAGGGAAACGGGGTGACCAACAAGGTCTGAATTTGTCTGTAATAAGGTAGACACTGATAAGGGGTTGCCAGGTTTTTAGTATAGTGTATAGCAGGGGCGGTTTCTTCATTAGGGCGATTGGGCGACGCACCACCAATGTCATTGAACCACAGAGTCACGCAAGCCGTCACTGTGCCTCTGGATATAGTCCAATCAGCGTCATGTCACGTTCTGTGGAGTACCGCCTCTTTTTGGGCGATTTCACTCCGGCTGAGAATCGCCCCGAGTGGCCCCATAGACTTACATTCAAAGATGTTTTTTTTCGAACGGGGGGCGCTCCAATGCATTCTCTATGGCTTCCGGGAGGGCTCGCCCTAATGTGCTTACGTCATCATACGTGCTTACGTCATCATACGTAAGCACGTTTCATCCAACAATATAATTTGTGGCCACCTAGTGGAATCTTTAATAAAATAAACTTGAGTGGTTTGTTTTAATAGTGAGTATAGAAACAAACAAGATGTATTGTAAGAGTCACTTTATTTTTCATTAATATTAAAGAAGTGAAGTTGCCTTTACATGCTTAAGCTGTTAATTTATCCATTGCATGGGTGGACCTTATCCTTATCAATCATCCAGACATTTGCCCCCCCTGAGAGATTTTGCAGGAGCCGCCACTGGTGTATAGTGTAGTGTATAGGATGAACGTTGAGATTTATAAAGGAGCTCGGGTTGACCAACAAGGTCTGAATTGGTGTGTAATAAGATGGGGCACTGATAAGGGGTTGAGAGGTTTTGTCACTCTCCGGTTCTTCTGGCAAAGTCACGTAGAATAAAATAAATTAAATAATAGAATACGACGTTTCGATTGCAACACAAGCAACCGTCATCAGGTATAACTACATTTGAGAGAGAGAGAGAGAGACAAAATACAGACACGGAGACACACAGACAGACCAGTGGCGGCTGGTGATATTTATTTTTGGGGGGGCGCATTTTTTTATTTTATTGAGGGGGGCAAATAAATATAAAGCAGTACCAAAAACCATTTTGACTACTTGAATATAAATTTTGATGATCTTTATTTACATTTCAGACCAAAAGAAGTACCAAAAAGCATGTTTCCTACTTGAACATAAATGTTTCTCTTTTATATACATTTCAGACCAAAGTACCAAAAAGCATGTTTCCTACTTGAACATAAAAACGTTAGTTTCATGCTATTATCAATATGGCTGCGGCTACTTTCATGACGTTTGCATTTGTCAGAGAGATGTTTGAGGTCTCTTACCCCCGTCGTTGTCCACAAAACTTCAGTGCCGACACTTTGAAATAAAAGACAGGGAAAACAAAAAAGAGAATTGCTAACATCACATCCAGCCACCCACCTCCGTTTCTCATAACAAGCGCGGGTGAAGCTTCGTGTGTAGCTTCGTCCTCTGTCACTGGCCTGCTGCTGGATTTGTAAATCGGGTTGGTCCGGTCCGAGATCCTTTATCTTTTTTATTTCTTCCAGCGAAAGCCTTGTGAAAGGATTTTTTTGTAAATAAATTACAGAATTTGGATGAACTGCTGCCATTGTTTACACAAAAAATTTGATTAGCCTAGCAAGTGTCAAAGTGGTGTCGCCGGCGCACTCGCAGTTGTGGCCCAGAGCGTAAATTTGAATGACAGGTGACGAGAACCAATCAGATTGGATAAAATAACATGTATCCAATTCTGATTGGCCAGGGACGCAACGACTTGCGCCCCGAGGAGAATCTTCAAGAAACCAATTAGAGACCAGCTTCAGGTCACATGCTGTCCGAAAATTTTAAGTCTCACATAGACATCCATTTGTCCGGCGCCCCGCATGAAACACATTGAAAAACATAGAAAATAGTTGACCGATTAAAGCCAGTTTTTATTAAATGCTGATGCTTTTCTTACTACCAGCCGGCACATCGTATGAAAAAAAATATTTTATTTATGTATTTTTATATAAATTTTGTATATCTATATGTCTTGAATATTGATGGGGGCGGCGCCCCTGCGCCCTCTATTGACGAGCCGCCACTGAGACAGACACACAAGTAGAGAGAGACAACACAGAGAGAGACAACACAGCCAACACAGAGAGAGACACACAACATAGACACACAGAGACCCAATGCCTCTCCCTTTGCCCCCGCCCCCCTCTCTATTTAAGGCCACGACACAGAGGCATTGGGTTTCTGTGTGTCTATGTTGTGTGTCTCTCTGTGTTGTCTCTCTCTGCTTGTGTGTCTGTCTGTGTGTCTCCGTGTCTGTATTTTGTCTCTCTCAAGTTTAGTTCTACCTGATGACGATTGCTTGTGTTGCAATCGAAAAGGCGTATTCTACTTAATGTATTTTCTTTCTACGTGACTCCTGCAGTCACGAAAGCTTCAAATCAGTGATGACGCGCGTGTCGTCACAGGGGGGGGGGAGGAGTCACAGCACAGAGCGCGAAGCCCCTCCCCCTGGCCTTGCTGTTGGGTGGCCGATTTAAAAATCGCGCTCCGCCCTCCCCCCCCCCCGTCGCCCCTTGAGCCTCGTCGGGCACCGTCCCCGCCATCCCCGCCATCCGCAGGCCCCGACATCGCGACAAAGTGAGGCTTTGCCACTCGCTGCGCTCACGATACACTCAGCTGTAGGCTCGCAACACACGCAGTCGTACTCTATACTCACAACGCACTCGATGTATACTCGCATTAATGTCGCCGTACTCAACACACGCTCGCAATACACGCACTGTACTCGCAATACACGCACTGTACTCGCAATGCACTCACTGTACTCAACACATGCTCATTGCTTATCCACACTTTACTGACAATAACCCACTCTACTGACAGTATACTGACTATACTCATAATACATTAAATACACTCACTATTCGTACTCGCAATGCACACTATGCCAAACACGCTCTCTCCACAGTCTATTGTGCTCACGATATTCACAATACACACAGTATACTCACTACTCAACACACGCTTACTGCACTCGCTATTCAATACCCTCACTATATTCAACACTCATTATATTCAACACGTGCTCAATACTCACAATACACACATCCATACTCGGTATACTTACAATACACTCACAATGCACTCACTCGCAATATACTAAATATACTCAACACGCTCACTACGCACTTACTATACTCACAATGCACTCACTCCACTCGCAATATACTAAATGTACTCTACACACTCACTACGCACTTACTATACTCACAATGCACTCACTCCACTCTGCACCTCCGATTAGCACGGTTGGCTACGTGCAGTGTGAAAGAAGTTCAACACACATGCAGTATACTCGCTATTCACAATACACTTGCTATACTCACAAGACTCAACACAAGCTCACTGCACATCGTACTCATTATACACTTACTGTGTTCAATTCACGACACACTACTCACAACACACTCACTACTCAAACACGCGCTAACTAAATCGTATACAGTACTCAATACACTATACTCGCAATACAGTACACTCACAAATACTAGCAATACAGTAAAACATACTCACGATACTCAACACATGACCACCACATCAGAGGCGTAGCTGGGGGGGGCAGGGGGGGGTACATGTGTCCCCGGGCGCCAAGGTAAAGGGGCGCCAAAATGAGGCTTACAACGTTACATTATGACTTATTGCGGCGGGCGCGGCAGCCTAAAACTACTGCACAAATCTACACCTCAACCTAAACGTTTATATATCCCGCCACACACAGCCTACATGTCATGTAATTACATTTTGGTATGTGATTAAACAGGTGGGGCGCCAATTTTATAGTTCGTCCACCGGGCGCAAAATATCCTAGCTACGCCACTGCACCACATACACGAAACTAAATACATTTATTACTGTATATACAACGCACATTCACTTTACACTCGGTCTAATCACAATACACACACTATACTAACAATACACTCAATACGCTCCACTTATAGTGCTGGGCGATTCTCACGATTCCCAATTCAGCATTGAAATGTGATCATTGTAATTACCCTGATATTGGGATCTTTGAATTGTGGAATTACAATTTGCGGTCACAATATTATTCAAGAATCAATTTCGTGTTACTTCTCGATTGTTATTTTGCACGGTTTTAACTAAATTTGTCTAAATGTAAATATTCTTACCCACGTGAACGATTTCATGCCTGTAATCACTTTGAATCGATGACTGGATGCGTCATTACATTCAATATACAGTATGTACTATGTGAAATTGTCAAAGCTTGCCTTTTTAGTGGCAACGGAGCACTGCTATTTTCAATATAATTACATTCATTTGAATGAAGGTGCAGGAATTTAATGGCGATGCATACTTTTTTCACGGACGAGTCGTAGGCTATAAAATAATCGCTATTCAATTGTTGTTACTACTCTAAATGAATAGTATAGTGGCGCTTTCAACTATTTCCACTAGGTGGCATACGAACCTTGCTATAATCACACCCGAATGAAGATTTTGAAATGGGAATTACTGTACCCGGAGAGAAAAAATGTTTCCTGTAGCAATTGGCCACATTGGAATTGAATGCAATTCCTACAGGAATCGTTTGCATTACTCCGTAAATACTACACTCACCACTCACCAAACTCACTATTTACCTCACACTGCCGATATACTTACACTACGGAGATATATTCATGCGTGTAAAATATTCATTTAACATAAAACACGCACACATATATTACACTTTCACAAAACTAAATTGACCTTGAAACATAGACAAAGACCTGTATTTTATGTTCCTACATATTAACAATATATTTTGTATTTTGTAAGAGCATACGTTTGCACGCACATAAACAGGAAATATACACATATTTGGTAAATGTACAATAAATCGCATGTAGATAAACTACCATAATGTACATTCACAACGGAGTATAGAGGAGCGATGCTCACAATAGCGCTGGCCGGCTAAAACGCAAAGATTTAGCACAATGGGGAGCACAGTTGGTGCTTCTGTCAGTCATCTCAGTCAGTCAACCCATGGCAATTGGGTCTGTTTCGTGACCTGTCAGCGGGTATTCGATACTTCACGTGGCCTCAAAGTACAAGCGCTGTAGTGACGCCACGCCACTTCGTGGTGAATTGTGGTTGTTGGCAATTACAAGCATAAATACATGCACAGCTGCTACCAATTGCCACGAGGTGGTGGTGCATTCATCACTGCGCTTGTGCCAGGTTAATTGCACTTTGAGGAGTGCCAATGGCTGTTTGACAACACCATTATCGCCCATAACCTCCACCATCTCCCTGCATGACATTAAGAACAAATTAGTTACACAACAATTTTACTTGGTGATTTCTGAAAAAAATAATTAGACACGTATATTTTTGCATGAACACAAATCGATGTTCTGTTACCATATCTTGTAAAACAACTCTTGTTTGGTTTCATAGTTGTTTTATATATGTATAAAAATTAAAGTGACATTGCATTCTTGTTTGATTCACCAATTTGTACTCTGCACGAGCTGGTGAAAATTGAGTTTTTGCAGAGTAGAAAAACATTGTTCCCATGCATCACTCCGCTTCCTCTTTGATCTTTCCGAAATGGACCACCAAACGATCCCAGTAAGTTATCTTGCTATTAGGCCACTCAATGTCTGTCAGGACTCTCAACCTTCCATCCTCACAGCTGAGCCTTCCCACTACTCGTGTGGGCTCTTAGTTGGCTGTCAACTCTGTTTAGCTTTATAATCTGGTCAGTGTGCAGAAAGTTAACTTTGCTTATGCAAAGATTCTTCACAGGATGCATATATATTCATATTAACAAGTACACTGCTTTGATAAATACATATTTTCTTTGTTTTCTTTGTGTTTACCATTCATTTCAGAACCTACCAAGACTTCTGACCACAATGAGTTTGCGGAAACAAACCCCAAGCGATTTTCTGAAGCAGATCATCGGTCGCCCTGTGGTGGTGAAACTCAACTCAGGGGTGGATTACAGAGGTAACACTTCACTTAATGGTCTTACATTTTAAACATACCTATGTTATAGAAATTGGCATAAATGCATTGAAATCAGATTAAAAGATTACATTTAACATGGAGTATTGCCAACTAGGCATTTGATTATTCACATTTGGGAACTTTTTTTCTAGTAGCAAAATAATGAAAAGAGAATATACTTTATCCTGTCTGACAATTAAACATGTGTTAAGGTGTTCAAACACCAAATAGACACCTATTCTAAGGCAACAAGTGGAAACGATCCACACAAACATGTTCTGATAATATATGCATTGTCTTTGAAACTGATTGGCCTTTGCCAGAGACAGCCTTCTTTATGGCATTGTCTCACCTTTGTTAGACCAGGGAACACCAAAAGGTGAACAGCATAAGGCAGTGAAAATATCAGAGCATTAATCGACGTAATGACTTGCAATAGTTGTCTATTTAGTGTTTGAACATCTTAACACCTGTATTATTGGCAGACATTTTAAAGCCTAATCCTTTTTACTCATTAAGCAAACTGTTAAGGTATTTTATTAACTTTCACAGTTGAATACACTCAATGTGTTATGTTTGTTAATTATTTTTTGTATTGCCTTCTCAGGTGCTCTATATTGATCGTTATATATTAAAAAGTACAATAGTAAGCAAAGGCGTGACGAGCACATGACTGCTGATGAGAATCAGAATGTTGTAAATAGGACAGTTTGCCTGCTTAGCAAATATTGTGGGTTAACATTTATCTAGGAGACCCATCAGCTAATGGACGAAAACGTTCTTTTATTTCATAACATGAATAGACTTACTCCTGGAATTACTCGCTTATTTCTATAATTTTGTTTATAATACATATTTCAACAACATTTGATCTAAAATGCCAACATTTTCCCAGAGCTAATGTTGAGTGTTTCCTGTCCCCTGAATAATAGATCAAAGATTCACTTCATACTGTATATGTATCTTTGATATATGTCGGTTTTATGTCAATTTACCATGAACACTGAAATACTAATTACTAAGTTATCTCCGTTATTAGATGCACATTATACAACTAAATACTCATCAATTGTAAGTGCATACTTGTTTGAAATGTACTGCATGTGTTTGTAAGAAGTATATTTGGCCTGAGGTGCATGTGGTGAAACTGTCGTTTCTAGGGGTTCTGGCCTGCCTCGATGGCTACATGAACATCGCCCTGGAGCAAACGGAAGAGTATGTCAATGGACAACTAAAGAACAAATATGGTGATGCCTTCATCAGAGGAAACAATGGTCAGTTTACTTTAAATTGTTTTTTGTTTAACTGATGTAATCACATTATTTTATACCTCATGTGTATTATTAGAAAGGAGACGTTGACCTGCTATACATGCTGTTGGAAGCAGTTTTCTTAACTTAAATTGTAAATTGGCCAAATTAGTAGGAATTGATATTCTTGGGTTTTTTGGTAAAGTCACGTAGATAAGTTCAAAAAATAGCAAAAAACTACGACGTTTCGATCGCAACACAAGCGGTCAAAATTTTGTGGGAATTGGTGATATAAATAATAATTTCACACTTTTCATCAACCTTATGTTAATCCACTTCTCGATGAAGTCCTTTGCATGGGTAATTTAATCATGGGAGTTTTTTTAAGTCATACTTTACCATGCTGGTCAGTGTCTGTTGGTTAGGACCCTGGACCGAAACAGATTATAGATATCACTCGCTGCTGATGTGAGCCATGGCAGAACTTTTTTTAAAACAATGATTCACATTAAAATATTGTCATATACATATAGTTTAAATTTGTATATCCTAATTAACTACTCCAGAAATTACCAATGGATTGGAAGAAATACTGACATGTTACGTGGAGAGACAGATATGAAGGAGATTGTCTGCTTATTAATGTTATTTATATTCTCCACAATGACACTCATTACTATTTTGTGTGGTTATATACACATTTTGAACTAGAACCCATCTTAAACAGACAGTCCTTGCCTATAACATCTGGCAGTTCATAAGTGTTGATGCAAATAAGCTTGACTGCTGATGAGACACTGTCGAAACCAGTTAAGAGTTTTCTTTTGTTGCTGAAATGATGCACTGTCATAAGCCAATAGGCCGAATCGTTGTGTAAGAAATAATTATATTTTTTTGTTATTGCATTCGTTGGTCTAATTAATTACCAATTCATGTAAAGGACAATTAACAATACATTGTCTATGCTATTTGTATTTTTGGCAGTGATATGGCCAAGCGGTAGAATGTTCGCTGCTTTTTTTGCGGAGGCTCAGGTTTGAATGCAGCGACTACACTGAGTATTACTGTGGGTGTATTGAGCACAATACGTGCCATCTATTTCACAGTGGACGTTAAAAGATCTGACATTCGCAAGAGTAGGCCGTTATGTGCAGGTGTCAGGGTCCAAATTTTTTAATTACTTATTACAGTGTAAACAGCAATCATCATCTCTACTGGCAGCAGAATTCTCCAGGTCATTCTTGCAAATCAGTTTTCATCTGGTTAAACAAAAATGTTTTTTAACGATCATTTTGTTATGTATTGCATGTTGTGTGTTAACAGTCCTTTACATTAGCACCCAGAAGAGGAGAATATGAGGTGCAAGTTACAACAAGATCCAGCAGTGAAAAAAAGAAAAGGATCAAATCTGTGCTCTGATGTGCATCACCTGTATTTTACTTTTTGAAAAATATCAAGAATTTAGTATTTTTATATTCTTTGTAAAAGTGCAAGGTAGTTATTTACTGCATCTAAAGTCAAACCATTTTTTGTCAATCTAAATGGAAAAAAAAATACTAATTTAAATGTATCTATCATTTCTTGTTTTTGTCTTTGCTTTTTGATGTGTAACTTTTGGGGGATTTTATACCCCAGGCATATGACTTTTGCAACTGGAGAGTGTCTCATACAAGTACAACTGTTGGATAACTATGACTTTGTTGATTGATCAGTAAATACAAGAATTGAGAGTACCAAAAGTATTTTACGTCTCTTTATTTACAATGACAGGGCCTGGATCTGTCAATGCAATCCATTAGGCCATGGTAATTTCTCCACCTAATCACCACAATGACACTGGTGCCATTTAAACTCCAACTTAAAAATTACATTGTCGCACTTCCTATTTAGCACCAATTTAGCACCAATTTAGCATACAATGTCTACCAATTGTGCACACATCCGTGGTATTCAGACATCTTGCACTGCTCGGGGCCAATCTGCACCCACCATGTACTCTCGCTCACTGATCAAAATAATTTCCTCTATATACCGTTACGAGGGGGTAGGTGACAGCAGCACGCCCGGCCGCCTTTGTCCCCCCAGTGGCGATGTTCACACACCACAGTAGTTACTCCTTTGAGGCTGATTCCACCTCGGGGAGGCCCAGGACCAGTTAAAATAATCGTCACTGGTGGTGGCCGTGAGCGGGAATCGAACTTGGGTCGCCGGGTTCGTAGCGCAGCGCGCTAACCACTACACGACAATGAGTTATGACAGATGTGACGTCACAGCTCACTTGCCGTGCAAAAGATATATTATTGAGCTCCCCCCCCCCCCCCTAAAAAAAAATCTAAAGTGTATTTTTATAAATTTTGCATGGTGTACAGTCTGGAAAGTATTCACATGGCAAATTTCCAGTTTGTTGCATGTTGGGAAGTAGCTAAACATTTTGAACAGACACATTCACAACTTTGCATTTTATATTTTTGGAGATAAAGTCTTATGTATTTCACTCGCAATCACTTGGTCAACTAGCTGATATTTTTTACACATACAGCTATCCTTATGTAGAGGTGATACGCGCTGGGATTAGGGATCGTATGCCAGCGCGTAATGATTGGCTGTGTAGGTGGTGACGCGCGCTGACGGTGGAGGATCAGGGGTCAGCGCGGGGTCGTGGGTTACGGGGTACTGATTGGCTGTGGGCCCGTGACGCGCTGAGAGGGAGTGATCGGGTGGCAGCGCGGTGTGATTGGTAGAGGAGTGTTAACACGCGCTGGGGAAAACGGATCGTAGAGAGAGTGCGTCGTGATTGGTCCACTAGGGAACGATGCTCACGTCGACGTCCGGATCAGCTCCGTCTCTCGTGAGCAGGGGCTATAAAAGGGGATGCACACAGGCGTAAGGGCAGTATGTAACCAGCGAAGAATGAAGACGGGGATGAAGACCTAGGGCCCTGCGGTACCTAGTCCCGCTGTCCTAACGGGACCGGGACTCTGTGTAACCCAGAGGCGAGTGTAGTGTGTAGCCAGAGGCATAAGGTCTACACGAGCCGAATGCATTGTGTGTAGCCAGGGGCGTAGGGTCTACACGAGTCGAGTGTAGTGTGTAGCCAGAGGCATAGGGTCTACACGAGTCGAGTGTATTGTGTGTAGCCAGAGGCATAGGGTCTACACGAGTCGAGTGTAGCGTGTGTAGCCAGAGGCATAGAGTTTACACGAGATTAGTGGAGTGTGTAGTCGGAAGAAAGGAGACCACACGTTGTATTGTGAACGTAAAGATTTAATAAAAGTGTGTTACCCGTCAAGAAGTTCCTGCCGTCAATTCCAATACTTCAACTGGCGTCAGAAGTGAAACGGTCTTCCAAGCATGGAGACAAGGAAGACCCGTCGGACCCACAGGATTGACCGCGGGGACAACCTCGACGACTCGGGCCAGCTGGCATCGGGGGGTGAGGACGAGGAATTGCCCATGCTGCAGGATCCGCCGACGGCGCCGGACGAGCGACGGGGGACCGACGCCGTGCTTCGCGAGGAGCACTCCCGCCTGGCGGAGCTGCTGCTCGCCGCCGCGTCCATCCTGGCGGAGATCAGCTCGTCGGGAGGAGCGGGGACGGCGGCGGACGTTCTGCAGGGTCGCCCCGCAGATTCCCGCCAAAACAACTTGGCGATTCCCGCCATTTCATCTGCGCCGACTTTTGGCGGGAACGGCCATCACCACGTGGCAGCGGTTCTCCAAGCGCGCCCGCTTACGTCACCAACGCGCGCTGCGGACCGCCATCAGACAACCGCCACTGGGGCCGCCATCTTACACACCGACGGGGCGGCGGAGAGGAAGCACGAGGAGGAGGACGACTTCATCTTTCAACAGCGCCTTCCCACGTTGTCAGCCTTCAAGGCAGAAGGCGGGGATTGGAGCCAATTTCAGCGCAGGTTTTTGGCGCATCAGGAGATGTCCGCCTGGTCCGACGCTACGGCACTGCGGGCACTGCCTGCCATGCTGGACGACAACGCGCTCGCGGCCTTCACGTCCGCACGCAGGTCGGACCGCTCCACGCTCAAGGATGCGCTGGCTCTCATGGCCAAGGTCTATGGTCCTCCCTCGGCGTGCCGCCATCATTTTTATGCAAGACGGAAGGCGGACACGGAGACTGTGCTCGCCTACCGCACGGCGTTGCTTGCTCTCGCCGACGCCGCGTTCCCTCGTTTGGACGAGGAGGGCCAAGATGCGATGGTTTTGGAGAAACTGCTCAAGTTGGCGCAGGACCTGGGGGTCCCCATCAACACGGCCGACGAGACCGATATTTCTTCCTTACGGGTCGCTACGAGCATACAAGCGCACGAGGTCCTTCAACGTAAACAGGGGGTCGTCTGCAACGCTGCCGTGGCCTCAGCTCCGGGCCCGGTAGTCACCGTGCCCCAAGTCGTCAGCCCACGAGAGGAGGCGTTCATCGCGGAACGACCGGGGGACTGGAGGTCGGGGGGCCGTTCGCCTCTGCGAGCGGCCCGCAAGCTGGAGCAACCGAGATCTCCGACGACTGTCATCACGTGCTATAACTGCGGCCTCCGGGGCCACGTGGCCTCCGGTTGCCGCGCCCCACGTCAGCGCGCCATGGGACCTCGGCTGGACGACGAACAAGGCCCCAAGTCATCCCTGCAAACCCCGGCAAGTCGCGGCACTTCACATGCTCGGCCCGCATACTCGACACGTATGGGTCGTCGCGTTGCGGCGGGGGAGAGCCGAGTAGAGTTCGGGGATTCGGTTCGGAGAGGGGGGTTCGGCCGGGACCGGGGGGACATTAAATGGTCGGAGTTGGGGCACAGAATAGTGGCTGCCTCAGCGGGTTCATCCGTCGTTACCGGATCTATTGATGGGGTCGAGGTCAGGGTGTTAGTGGACACGGGGGCATCGGCGACTATTATATCGGATCTCATTTATAACATTCTCCCTGTACAATGTCGTCCGCTTCTTCCGGTGGATGTGCCATTTTACGCCGCTAACGGGGGATCATTGGGCATTATCGGTCAGATTAGGGCGTCCATTTGCATTGGTGATATCAAATTGTCGGGACCCGTCTTCGTTTCGTCCTCCCTGGCGGTTCCCTGTCTATTGGGCACTGATTTTTTGGCAAAAATGCCCATCAAAATTCTCATTGATCAGCGTTGCATTGAACTACCATCGGGTCGCCGTATTTCATTTTTGACGAGCCCTAATGAAATTCGGACGGCGTGCGCTACCATACAGGCGTTAGCGACACAGACCGTGCACGTGCCCCCGGGTTCACAAATGTTAATTCCCCTCCGGTTGCGGAAGCCATGAGTGAGGGAGGCCTCGGAACAGGGCATGCTTTTGGGTCCTTCTAATAGGGCTGTTGGAGGTCTCGATTTGTCGGTGGCTCACACTTTGGTTGGGGCTGACAGGGATCCGTTTGTGATGGTTTTAAACGCTGGGGCGCGGCCGGCCGTCATTCAGCAGGGCACCGTGCTAGCTCACGCGGCGCGGGTCCCTGCGGAGGAGAGGCTGGTTGCGCAGGCTGATCCGAGCCCCACGAAAAACGTAACATTGAAGGAGGACCTCGAATGGGTTGATTCGCTGTGCGCGGACTCTGACGATTTGTCAGTGGTACAGTTGGGTGCGCTGCGCGGGTTGCTGATTGAATTTTCGGATGTCTTCAGTAAACATAAGTATGACATTGGGTGCACGGACCTGCTACGCCACCACATTGAAACGGGCGATGCGGCACCGGTCAGGCAAAATCCCTTCCGATTGAGTCCTGCTGAGAAGGAACATGTTCAGTCGGCAGTTAACGATATGCTGGAAGCCGACATTATTTCGCCTTCTTCCAGTCCTTGGGGAGCACCTATTGTACTTGTTAAAAAGCAAGACGGGTCCCTGCGATTTTGCGTCGATTTCCGTCGCCTGAATAAGATCTCTGTGGCCGACGCGTATCCGCTCCCCAGGATGGACGAGTCTCTCGACGCATTGTCTGGTGCGCGATACTTTTCGACTCTTGATTTACTATCCGGATTCTGGCAGTTGCCACTCGACGAAGAGTCTAAGCCTAAGACTGCATTTCGGACTCCGGGGGGCCTGTTTCAGTTTAACCGGTTACCCATGGGACTTCACTCCTCTCCTGCGACGTTTCAGCGTCTTATGGAATTGGTTTTGTCGGGCTTGCAGTGGGATACGTGCCTCATTTACCTTGACGATGTCATTGTTTTCGGTAAAACGTTTGAAGAACATCTCCAGCGATTGAGAGGGGTGTTCTTGCGAATGCGATCGGCTAAATTAAAGTTTAAACCGGCCAAATGCCACCTTTTTCGTAAATCCGTGAGGTACTTGGGTCACATTGTCGACTCTTCGGGGATTTCTACCGATCCTGCAAAGACGGACTGTGTCAGTTCGTGGCCGACGCCCACGTCAGTGTCAGACGTGCGCAGTTTCATCGATTTTGCTTCATATTATCGCCGATTCGTTGAGCACTTCGCCACCATTGCAAAACCCTTGCACGCTCTAACGGCGAAAGGAGTGAAGTTCCGATGGGGACCGGAGGAGGAGGC